GAAAATTTAAAATATAGCTCGAATTCTGTTTCTAGCCAACAACACTAATTTAGGAAAGCCAAGCGGGGCTTGGTGGTGCACACCTGTAATCCTTGCTACTCTGGAGGCTGAGGTGGGAGGACCGCTTCAGGTCAGGTGTCTGAGACCAAGTTGGGCAACGTAAAGAGAGCCCTCTCTGAAAGAAAAGTAAAGCAAAAAGAAAAGAAAAGCTAGCTTTCTGGGCTGGGTGCAGTGGCTCACACCTGTAATCCCAGCACTTTGGAAGGCAGAGGTGGGTGGCACATGAGGCCAGGAGTTCGAGACCAGCCTGGCCAACATGGTAAAACCTCATCTCTACTAAGAAATTAAAAAATTTGGCCGGGCGCGGTGGCTCATGCCTATAATCCCAGCACTTTGGGAGGCCGAGGCGGGTGGATCACGAGGTCAAGAGATCGAGACCATCCTGGTCAACAAGGTGAAACCCCGTCTCTACTAAAAATACAAAAAATTAGCTGGGCATGGTGGTGTGCGCCTGTAGTCCCAGCTACTTGGGAGGCTGAGGCAGGAGAATTGCTTGAACCCAGAAGGCGGAGGTTGCAGTGAGCCGAGATCGTGCCATTGCACTCCAGTCTGGGTAACAACAGTGAAACTCCGTCTCAAAAAAAAAAAAAAATTAGTTGGGCATGCTTGTGTGCACCTGTAATCCCAGCTACTCAGGAGACTAAGGCAGGAGAATCGCTTGAATCCAAGAGGTGGAAGTTGCAGTGAGCCAAGATCACACCATTGCACTCCAGCCTAGGCAAAAGAGCTAGACTCCATCTCAAAAAATAAAAGAAAAAAATTAATAAAAAGAATACCTAGGCTTCTGAGAGGATTTTCTTCCCCTTCCTTATCAGATACTCCCTAAAAGAATGAAGCTCCCCAGCGTGTTATGGGTTGGAGCAGAGATGGGTACTGTGAGAGTGGTGGTGGTGGTGGTGATGGGGTAAGAGTAATGCCTATGGAATATCCTGGCCAGGCGCAGTGGCTCACGCCTGTAATCCCAGCACTTTGGGAGGCTGAGGCAGGTGGATCACCTCTTGAGGTCAGGAGTTAGAGACCGTCTGGCCAACATAGCAAAACCCTGTCTCTACTAAAAGATACATACATATAAGCCACCATGCCTGGCTAAAAAAGTACAAAAAATTAGCTGAGCATGGTGGTGAGCAAGTGTGATCCCAGCTACTTGGGAGTCTGAGGCAGAAGAGGGAGTCCCAGCAAGTGTGATCCCAGCTACTTGGGAGTCTGCTTGAACATGGGAAACAGAGGTTATAGTGAGCCGAGATTGTGCCATTGCACTCCAGCCTGAGTGACAGAGCAAGACTCCATCTCAAAAAAAATAAAAAAAAGACAAAAGAAAATCCTGACTGGCAAACAGGAATTACCCAAAGGGTGGCAGGAGCATCAGTTTCAGGGTGCCCTTGAAGTTCACTTCCATAACATAGATAACACTGTGGCTACTGTAAAATTATTACTCAGTGCAATAATTACCCATTTAAAAAAAATACATCTCATTTTATTTGGTACATTTTAAAAAGCAGGACAGCCTGACCTTCCAATTTCGTTAAACGATCTTAAAGATTTGCAACTCTGCAGTCTTGACTATTTTCTTCTCAAGCACTTCAAATTCCTCCCAAGCCAATTTCCCCCAAATCCTTCAGCAATTCCCACCTGACAGCCAACACTGATTGGACACTTTACTCTGTCCTAAGTGCTGTTTACATGTTAATTCCTTTTATCCTTACATCAGTCTCACCGTGTTGGGACTATTTTTATGCCCATAAAGTAAAAGGGGGCCTGACATTGTGGCTCATGCCTGTAGTGCCAGCTACTCTGGAGGCTGAAGCAGGAGGATGGCTTGAGCCCAGGAGTTTGAGACCAGTCTGAGCAACCTAGCAAGACTCCATCTCTATAAAAAATAACTTAAAAAATTATCTTAGAGAGGAAAGTGACTTCCCCAAGGTCTTATAACTCTCAGGGAGAACCCAAAGTCTTCTTGTTCCTAGGCCTGGTATTGAAGTTGGTGTCACTAGAGGTGACATCTGTCTCTCAGTTTTGTTTTTTTTTTTGAGACAGAGTCTTGCTCTGTCGTCCAGGCTAGAGTACAGTGGTGCCATCTCAACTCACTGCAATTTCTGCTTCCCAGGTTTAAGTAATTCTTCTGCCTCAGCCTGCTAAGGCACGGATTACAGGCACACGCCTGTAGCTGGGATTACAGGCGCATGCCACCATGCCTGGCTAATTTTTGTATTTTAGTAGAGATGGGGTTTCACCACGTTGGCCAGGCTGGTCTCGAACCCCTGACCTCGTGGTCCACCTGCCTTGGCCTCCCAAAGTGCTGGGATTACAGGCATTAGCCACCAAGCCCAGCCTCTTTTTTTCTGAGACAGAATCTCTTCTGCCCTGGCTGGTGTGCAGTGGCACTTGCTCATTGCAGCCTCTGCCTCCCGGGTTCAAGAGATTCTTGTGCCTTAGCCTTGCAAGTAGTTGAGACTACAGGCATACAGCACCATGCCTGGCTAATTTTTTGTATTTTTAGTAGAGATGGGGTTTTGCTAAGTTGGCCAGGCTGGTCTCAAAACTCCTGACCTCAGGTAATCCACCCATCTCAATCTTCCAAATTGCTGGGACTGCAGGCGTAAGCCACCATGCCAAGCCCTGTCTAGCCCCTTTAACTTTTCACAGGGGCTCACTCAAATCTATTCCCCTCCATTCCCTGAATATGGCAGTGGGGCCAGTGGGGCTCATTCTTGGGGAAACCCACAGCTGTCCCAGAGCTAGGGGCCCTTTAGATTAGCAGTCCTCAACCTTTTTGGCACCAAGGACAATTTTTTCCATGAATGGGTGTTTGGAGGGATGGTTTGGGATGATTCAAGCACATTACACTTATTATGTACTTTATTTCTATTATGATTACTTACTTACCATCATGCAGAATCAGTGGGAGCCGTGAGCTTGTTTTCCTGCAACTAGACAGTCCCATCTGGGGGTGATGGGAGACAGTGACAGATCATCGGGCATTAGAGTCTCATAAGGAACTTGCAACCCAGATCCCTTGCATGCCTAGTTCACAATAGGGTTTGTGCTCCTAGGAAGCTCTCATGCCCTGCTGATCTGACAGGAGGTGGAGCTCCTCGTGGCTCACAGGCCCTGCTCACCTCCTGCTGAGCAGCCAGGCCATGGACTGGTACTGTGAGGGATCTGTGGGGATCGCTCCCTCGTGAGGCCCCTGGGAAATGGGCCTCGCCATACGGTGAGCTTGAGCCCTGACACAGATCCCCGGTTGGGGGAGTCGAGCTGAGGGAAAGCAGGAACCGAGAGAGGGACTATGTTATTCTAAATAATTAACAGACATTACTTTATGGATATGAGGACTTGGGAGGCATTGTGTCTACTTTCTGCTTGTTATGGTTTATTGCTTGATTATGTTCATTTTGGACCTGTGTTACTTACTTAATAACTTACAGGGCGTAACTGTAACTTACTTACCATGGTTTACAGGGCGTGACTGTAATCTACTTACCTTGACCTATTGGGCGTAACCTACTTACTGAGCTTAACTTACTTACTGGGCGTAACTTGCTTACTGTAACTTAAGTACGTTAATCTGGTGTAAACAACTTTAACTTCAGAAAAGTATATAATGAAACACATTGCAGAAATAAAATTGCTGCATGAGCATAGCGCATGTAGCCCTCCAGACCTCACCTTTTCTGTCTCCCTTTTTTCCGGCGCGCACTCTCTTCCAGGTTTGGGATCCTCTCGCTGGACGAGATTCCCGGGCTCGCGTTCAGTTCACAACAGTACTGGCAGCCAGGGGCTTGGAGACCCCTGCTTTAGATGCCTTGATGCCAATGTAGCAGGGGGAGGGGGCTACAGTGATTGTCCATCAGTGCCTCATGGGCCAGAGAGGAGATCAAAGGCCCTCACTGTGTGGAGGGATATCTTGCCCAGGTATGTAGCAAAGCAGAAGCACAGCTGGGACCAGAACCCATTGGGCTTCCAGCCTTTTTTCTTTTTGAGACAGCGTCTTGCTCTTGTTGTCCAGGCTGAAGTGCCATGGCACAATCTTGGCTCCTTGCAACCTCCACCTCCCTGGTTCATGTGATTCTCCTGCCTCAGCCTCCTGAGTAGCTGGGATTACAGGCACGCGCCACCACACCCAGCTAATTTTTTGTATTTTTAGTAGAGACAGGGTTTCACTATATTGGCCAGGCTGGTCTCAAACTCTTGACCTGGTGATCTGCCCACCTCAGCCTCCCAAAGTACTAGAATTATGGCATGAACCACCATGCCCAGCCTGGGCTTCCAGCCTTTAAGGCCAGCCAGGCCCCTCTAGCTTCTAGGAGAGCCCAGCCCTGCTCCCCTAAGGCAAATGGCAGTAGCTGTGTAGGCTGGTCACCCCTCACTGTGGTTGCCTGACAACCTCAAGGCCCTTAGTGACAAAGAAGTGGCCGGGGGTCTCCAAGCCCCTGGCTGCCAGATAAGAGCAGGAGCCCCATCTTACAGCAGCTGTGAGAGGGTAAACTGGGGGATGACATAAAGCACAGTGTAGGGGCCACCACTCAGGACCCTCTTTCAAGAAGGGGCAGGAGGTGGGCACAGTGGCTCACACCTGTAATCCCAGCATTTTGGGAGGCAAAGGTGAGAGGATGACTTGAGGCCAGGAGTTTGAGACCAACCTAGCCTACATGGAGAAACTCAGACTCTACTAAAAATACAAAAATTATTTGGGCCTGGTGGTGGGCACCTTTAGTCCCAACTACTCAGGAGGCTGAGGCAGGAGAATCTCTTGAACTCAGGAGGGGGAGATTGCAGTGAGCCGAGACCAGGCAATTGCACTTCATCCTGGGACAGAGCAAGACTCCATCTCAAGGCATAAAAAAGGGCAAGAGGCGTTTCAAGGCCTTTTGCCCAGTGCCTGGTGCACCCTAAGCACTCAACAGTTCTTGAATGAGGAGCAGCCTCCCGGAGCCCGCGAGTGTGCAGAGAGAAGGCACCTGGAGAGTGCCCCAAGGGACTTACAGCGCAGTGCACGCTCCTTGGAACGCTGAGTCAGAGCCGGGGGCCTCGGACCCAGGGCGGGGAGGGGTTCCGGGGAAGGGAAGGATGCAGGTGGGGGAGGGGTATGGACTCCGGGAGTGGAAGGGAAGGATTGGGGGAGGTTGGGGGGGAAAGAACGCGGGGAGGAGCCAGGGCGCAGGGAGGGAGCTCAGGGACCCAGAGAGGGGAGGCACGCGGGGAGGGGCGATCGTGGACTCCTGGAGGGCAGACAGACGTGGGAAGGGAGGACGCGGCTGGAGCAGGAGGCGGCGGGAGGAAGAGGAGGGCGCGTGGCGCGGCTGACGTGGGCTGGGGTCGCTCAGAGGGCTGTGCGCAGCAGCGGCGCGCAGCGACAGAATCCCCCGGCGAGGACGAGCGAGCGCAGCGCCCGCACCTCCCTGCACTGCTCGCGCCGCGCACCTCAAGGAGCGGCCGCCGCCGTTCCCGAGCTCGAGCCACATTCCCTCTGCATCTGCCCCACACTCCTCCCGCTCTGGGCCCCGCCATGACCCAGGCAGTGTGGTCGCGCCTCAGCCGCATCCTCTGGCTCTCCTGCCTCCTGCCCTGGGCCCCGGCTGGGGTGGCCGCAGGTAAGGCGCTGGGTAGCCCGGCGCAGCCCGCCTAGAGCCTGGAACCAGCCGCAGCCCGCCTAGAACCTGGAACCATCTTCACGGGTGGGTGGGCCCGGAGCGGGGATGGCGGAGATGGCACCATGCACCCTGAGCGCATCTCTCTCCTCGGCGGAGGCCTCTACGGCACCCTCTCCTCTTTCCATTCACCCCTCTCTCCCAAAGTCACCTGGGCACTGGAGGAGGATCCCCGCACCCCCTGGATTCCTTCCACCCCCGCCCCCCCCCCCCCCCCCCCCCCCCCCCCCCGCCCCGCTGGCCCTACCCTGGAAACCGTGTGGGAGTGACCGGCGCATCCCTCCAGGCCTGGGGACCATGACCCCTCTAATGGAGGGGAGGATGAAGCCGGGAGACGGGGATGCTCCTGGGACTGTCGTCGCGCCACAATCCTCCACCCCCCTACCCGTCCCCCCCCCCCCAGAGCACGGGATGGGCAGCGTTTTTGCCTTAAATGTCGCCTCTTCTAGAGGGTTTTCCACACTGTTGGTGCTGGCTTTGGGGAGATGCGATTTTAGAGCCCAGGAGGCCAGGCTGCCATTTCCTCTCTGATGGTGATTTCCAAAATGGACCCTGAAACTGACAGGTTCCTGGGGTGTGTGTGTGGGGGGGGAGGGCATCGTGTATCTACTGCCCCCACATCCCCACCACCAGAAGGCCAGCACCCACCTTTCTGCCACATTTTGGGAAGCATAAAAGGACCCACACTGGGGACTTGTCGAGGGACAGGTGGGATGTGGGCAGCTAAGCGGGTTGAATATTACCCAACATTTTCATACCCTCCCCCCTCACAAAAGAATCGGGGGCGGGGGAGAGAGAAGCTGGGGATCTAGTGAAAATCTGTGACAAGGTAAAAGAAAATCTGCAGCTCAGGGATGAATTAGATGAATTTTATGGGAATCGTGTTTGGTCAAGATCATGTTTTCCTCCTGGAAATATAGAAGAGGGGTCTCTTGTTCATTGGTTTATTTGTGTCCAGAGATTCTCAATGCGTCCTAAATTGAAAAAGAAAAAGAAAAAAAGAGAAAAGAACAAAAGTGAATTAATTCTTTGGAAATAATGTGTGGTTCCCGTTCTAGCCAATCTCACTGTTGATATGGTCAATCACAGTGGCTGGGAGTGAGACTGGGAAACATATCTTCTCTCTCACCCATGGGGGAGACCTTTCTACCCGTCCCCTTTCTGAGGTCTGCATGAACCAGGGACGTGTAAGTCAGAAGTCCATGTACTAGACTATTAATTAATTCCGGGTTGTGTTATCCAGACTTTAGAAGTATTCCTGGAGACTGTTTTGGGTAGTCTGCGTGCTCTGGGGGAAGGACTGGTGTAGCCATTTTCTAGAATGCTCAGGGCCCCACAAGCTGTGTTGCTGAGAAAGGTGGGCGTTTCTTCCATGGGCCAAGCTTTGGGGTGGTTGCCCCTTCTCTTTTTGCTTTTGCCCCTTCAGCTCTGGGTGACTTGGGGGCCCATGGAGTCCCCTAAACCTCTGCCTTGGCTGCTCCGCACCATGCCAGGCTAATGTTTTACATTTTTTTTTCTTTTTTTTGAGACAGAGTCTCACTCTGTCACCAGGTTGTAGTGCAGTGGCACAATCTCAGCTCACTGCAGCCTCCACCTCCTGTGTTCAAGTGATTCTCCTGCCTCAGCCTCCCGAGAAGCTGGGATTACAGGCGTGTGCCACCATGGCCAGCTAAATGTCACTTGGACACCCAAACCTGGAAAGATTATTTTTTTTTTTTTTTTTTTTTTTTGCGATAGAGCCTTGCTCTGTTGCCCAGGCTAGAGTACAGCAGCATGATCTTGGCTCACTGCAACGTCAGCCTTCCTGATTCAAGCAATTCTCCTGCCTCAGCCTCCTGAGTAGCTGGGATTACAGGTGTCCACCACCATGGCCAGCTAATTTTTGTATTTTTAATGGAGACAGGGTTTTACTATGTTGGCCAGGCTGCTCTTGAACCTCTGACCTCAGGTGATCTGCCCTCCTCATCCTCCCAAAGTGCTGGCCCACAGCTGTGAGCCACCGCCTGGAAAGATGAATTTGATGGGTAGAGCAGCAGGCCCTGCAATCGGTTCCTTCAGCCACATTTGGCAAAGGTTTCATAATCCATTTCTACTCCGGATGTCCTCGTCATCTCTGAGAGCCCTCAGGAAAAGAGGCAGCATCACCCAGGAGCTATTTTGAAAAAAAACAGACTGAGAAAAAGTACCCTTGGAACCTCTTTTGGCTTGGCAGGTGCGGGAGGCAGGGGAGGGCTGCTCCCATGAGCTGGGCCAGTGTCTGCAGCAGACACAGCCCCTCCCTGCCCCCACCCATCCCCCCTCCCAATCCCAGCTGGCTGCCCTCCTGATCCATTCCCCTGGCAACCGATCTGCATGCTGACATGCGCCTGTTTCACTGCAGATGTGGTTTGGCCATCAGGATGCAACCAAATGTCCCCTCCACCTGCCAGCCTTGCTCATGCCCACCCTCCTGGGGTGGGGTTGTGGGGAGGATGGGGAGGAGAGGAGAGTGCCAGGAGCCAGGGGGAGAAGGGAGGAGGGGTCTCTAGTCCATGCACCTCTCTGTGCACAACCTGGCCAAATGCTGCCTCCCAGCCAAAGTTGTGGGGAGCAGAGCTCAGCTGGGGTGGTACAGACTGGCTGGGTGGCCTTAGGCAGCAGCAGTGGCCCATGTGGGCGGGGTCTCTCACTTCGTTGCCCAGACTGAAGTACAGGGGCTCAATCATAGCTCATGGCAACCTTGAACTCCTGGGCTCAAGAGATCCTCCTGCCTCAGCCTTCCAAGTAGCTGGGGCAACAGGTGCATACTACCATGCCTGGCTAATGTTTTACTTTTTAATTTTTTTTGAGACAGAGTCTCACTCTGTCACCAGGCAGGAGTGCAGTGGTACAATCTCAGCCCACTGCAACCTCTGCCTCCCGGGTTCAAGTGATTCTTCTACCTCAGCCTCCTGAGTAGCTGGGACTACAGGCACGTGCCACCAAGCCCACCTATTTTTTTTTGTATTTTTAGTAGAGACAGGGTTTCACCATGTTAGCCAGGATGGTCTCGATCTCCTGACCTCATGATCTGCCCGCCTCGGCCTCCCAAAGTGCTGGGATTACAGGCATAAGCCACTGCACCCGGTTTTTAAATTATTTTTTTTGTAGATATGGGACGGTACTATGTTGCTCAGGCTGACCTTAAACTCCTGGGCTCAAGTGACCCTCTGGCCTCAAAGTGCTGGGATTACAGGTGTGAGCAGACTGGGCCTGGCTCCAAATGCCTTTATAATGTAAGAAATAGCCCTGAAAGCAAGGGAAACGTGTAATGTGGACCAAAGCAGCGAAGGCATGATGTGGGCCTAAGGAAAGGCTGGATCTGGAATCCCTCGCAGGGACAGGTGATACTGCTTCAAAGTGAATGAAATGAAGCTGAAAAAAATAATTTCAGAGTCACGTGGGCATTGGAGGGGGCTCCCCTCGCCCCCTCAATTCCTGCTTCTACCCCTGGGTTGGCCCTGCCCTGGAAACCACGAGAGTGGCTGGCACATCCGTCAGGTGCCTGGGGACCAAGCACCCGATAAGGGAGGTGAGCGGGGCAGGGATGAGGCAGGAAGGTGGAGATGCATCACGGTCAGTCATTGGCCCACAACCCCCCAGCTCCCAGGGAGCACGGGATGGGCACCGTTTTCACCCTAAAATGTCACCTCATCTAAACGGGTTTTCCACCTTGTTGGTGCTGGCTTTAGAGAGATGTGATTTTATCTTATTTATTTATTTTATTTTTTTTATTTTGAGACAGAGTTTCACTCTTGTTGCCCAGGCTAGAGTACAGTGGCACAATCTTGGCTCACTGCAACCCCCATCTCCTGGGTTTAAGTGATTCTCCTGCCTTAGCCTCCTAAGCAGCTGGGATTACAGGTGCACGCCACCACACCTGGATAATTTTTGTATTTTTAGTAGAGACAGGGTTTCACCATGTTGGTCAGGCTGGTCTTGAACTCCTGACTTCAGGCGATCCACCCACCTCGGCCTCCCCAAGTGTTGGGACCACAGGTGTGAGCTGATGTGCCTATAAAACTGAGAGATGCAATTGTAGAGCCCAGGAGGCCAGGCTGCTATTTCTTCTGGGAGTGATTTCCCAAAATGGATCCTGAGCTGACAGGTTCCTGGGGCGACTTGGGAGAGGGAGACCTTGTGCCCACCCAGTCATCCATCTACTGCCTCACGTCCCTACCACCAGAAGGCCAGCACCCACCTTTCTGCCACATTTTGGGAAGCATAAAAGGACCCAGATTGGAGACTTGTCCAGGGACAGGTGGGACGTGGGCAGTTAAGGGGGCTGAATATTATCCAACATATTCATCTCCTCCCCCCTCATAAAATTGGTAAAGTCGGGCACTGTGGCTCATGCTGTAATCCCAGCACTTTGGGAGGCTGAGGCGGGCAGATCACCTGAGGTCTGGAGTTCGAGACCAGCCTGGCCAATGTGTTGAAACCCTGTCTCTACTAAAAATACAAAAAATTGGCCAGGTGTGGTGGTGGGTACCTCTAATCCCAGCTACATGGGAGGCTGAGGCAGGAGAATTGCTTGAACCCGGGGGAGGGGGGTAGGGGCGTGGTGGAGGTTGCAGTGAGCAGAGATCGCACCATTGCACTCCAGCCTGGGTAACAAGAGTGAAACTCCATCTCAAAAAAAAAAAAAAGAGTGGTAGAGAGAGGGTAAGGGATCTAATGAAAATTTGTAAAAGAAAAACAACAAGGTGAAATAGTTGAAATAGTTGAAAAGGTAAAATAGTTGGCCTTGTGGCCGGGGGCAGTGGTTCATGCCTGTAATCCCAGCACTTTGGGAGGTCGAGGTGGGCAGATCACAAGGTCAGGAGTTCAAGACTAGCCTGACCAACATGGAGAAACCCCATCTCTACTAAAAATACAAAAATTAGTCAGGCATGGTGGTGGGCACCTGTAATCCCAGGTACTTAGGAGGCTGAGGCAGGAAAATCTCTTGAACCTGGGAGGCAGATATTGCAGTGAGCTGAGATTGCACCACTGCACTCCAGCCTAGGCGACAGAGTGAGACTCTGTCTTAAAATAAATAAAGGAATAGTTGGCTTTTCCTGTTGAAAGCCTAACGGGTCTCCTGTGAGGTCCCTCGGGGGAGGGGCCTACTCTGCATTTCTGGGTCCTCCCGGCACAGTGGGGATGGGGTCCGTGGAAGGGACTCAGTCAGTGCCACGGGGGTGATCAGCTTCCTGGGGCAGGACCAGGTAGGCTAGTCCCTCTGAGGCACCCTCCTCTCCAGGTGCCCCTTGGCAGCAGCAGTACCAAATACCTATTATGTGCCAAATGCTGTGCTGGGCACAGGGGAGATGGAAATGATCCCTGCTCTAAAGGAGTTTGGAGCACAGCAGGGAAGGCAAAGAAACCTTCATTCTCACGTGGCGTTGTGACAGCAGTGGCCTCAGGCTGTTGGGGGAGAGCTGAGCAGGTGAGAGATTCAGGGAAGTGCTGTTGCCGTTTTCTTTTGTTTTTGAGACAGAGTTGCTCTTGTTGCCCAGGCTGCAGTGCAATGGTGTGATCTTGGCTCACTGCAACCTCCACCTCCTGGGCTCAAGTGATCTTCTGCCTCAGCTTCCCGAGTAGCTGGGATTACAGGCATACACCACCATTTTTGTATTTTTAGTAGAGATGGAGTTTCACCATGTTGGCCAAACTGATCCGCCTACCTCGGCCTCCCAAAGTTCTGGGATTACAGGCATGAGCCACAGCATCTGGCTGACAGCTGAATCCTTTAACCCCGACAGAGAGGGAGAAATGAAGAGAGGAGGAATCCAGAGGCATGAGAACAGCACCGTCCAATAGATCTCTGGGCAATGTGGTTAAGCATGATGGCTCGTGCCTGTAATCCTAGCACTTTGGAAGGCCAAGGCAGGGGGATCGCTTGAAGCCAGGAGCTTGAAGCCTGGGCAACATAGTGAGATCCTATCTCTACCAAAAAATGAAAAAATCAGCCATGCATGGTGACTTGCCCTACAATCCCAGTTACTTGGGAGGCTGAGGTGGGAGGATCACTTGAGCCCAGGAGGTTGAGGCTGCAGTGAGCTGCGATCATGCCACTGCACCGTAGCCCTGGATGACAGAGGGAGACCTGGTCTCAAAACAAAATCAAACAGTCTGGGTGATGGTAGAAATGTTTTCTGTGTGCCCAGTCCAGAAGCGTAGCCACTAAACCAAGGCCTTGCCTGGCTGACATGAAAAGAAAATATAATTTGGGCAGCCTGTGTAACATACTGAGACCCCGTCTCTACAAAAAATAAAATAAAAAATTGGCCAGGTGTGGTGGTGTGTGCCTGTAGTTTCAGCTATTTGGGAGGCTGAGGCAGGAGGATCACTTGATCCTGGAAGGTGGAGGCTGTATGAACTGTGATGATTATACTCCAGTCTGGGTGACAGAGTGAGACCCAGAGAAAGAAAGAGAGAGAGAGAGAGAGAAAGAAGGAAAGAGAGAGAGAAGGAAGGAAGGAAGGGAGAGAGGGAGGGAGGGAGGGAGGGAGGAAGGAAGGAAGGAAGGAAGGAAGGAGAGAGAGAGAGAGAAGGAAGGAAGGAAGGGAGGGACAGAAAGGAAAAAGAGAGAGAGAGGCTGGGCATGGTAGCCCAAGCCTGTAATCCCAGCACTGTGGGAGTCTGAGGCAGGCGGATCATGAGATCAAGAGATCGAGACCATCCTGGCCAACATGGTGAAGCCCCGTCTCTACTAAAAATACAAAAATTAGCCGGGCATCGTGGCACATGCCTGTAATCCCAGCTACTCGGGAGGCTGAGGCAGGAGAATTGCTTGAACCCGGGAGGCGGAGGTTGCAGTGAGCCAAGATCTTGCCACTGCACTCCAGCCTGGCAACAGAGAGACTGTCAGCGAAAAGAAAGAAACAGAAAGAGAGAGAGAGGAAGGAAGGAGAAATAGCACTGTAAAGAGGCTGTGATGGAGTCACAGGGGAGTCAGTGGGACTCAGGTTTGAACCCCAGTTTGATGTCACATTGGCTGAGTGACCCTTGGGCAAGTCACTTGAGCTGTCTGAGCCTCAGTTTCTCCACTTGGGAAATAGAATAACTGAGGGCAGCCCAGAGGTGGCTGTGGGGCTCTTTGCCACATCCCTCCTGAAAGACAGTCTTTGTTTCTGGGCTCCTAGGCCTGTATGAACTCAATCTCACCACTGATAGCCCCACCACAACGGGAGCGGAAGTGACCATCTCGGCCAGCCTGGTGGCCAAGGACAACAGCAGCCTGGTCCTGCCTGCCGATGCCCACCTCTACCGCTTCCACTGGATCCACACCCCCCTGCTGCTTACCAGCAAGACGGAGGAGGGTCTCAGCTCCACCATCCGTGTGGTTAGCCACGTGCCCGGGGACTTCCCCGTCTCCGTCTGGGTCACTGCCGCCGACTGCTGGATGTGCCAGCCCGTGGCCAGGGGCTTCGTGGGTCTCCCCATCACAGGTGAGGCTCAGTCTCATTTGCTAGTTTGCCTTCGAACCCTTGGTGCAAAGAAAAACATTCAGCCTCACTAAGATCAATGCAGATTAGGCTCGTAGGTTCTTTCCCTGGGTTGACTGACTTAGAAAGGATCCAAAAATGGCAGCATTTCCACCGCCCCCCACCACCAGCAAGTATTGTGCTAAAATGGACACTTAGAGCACACATGACTACTGGGGGCATCCATTAATACAGCCCTTTCGAGACCGGCTGGTCAATAGGTACTGATGATTAGAAATTATTATAGTCTTGGCTGGGCACAGTGGCTCACGCCTGTAATCCTAGCACTTCTGGAGGCCGAGGCAGGTGGATCGCCTGAGATTGGGAGTTTGAGACCAGCCTGATCAATATGACGAAATCTCATCTCTACTAAAAATACAAAAATTAGCTAGGCTTGGTGGTGGGCACCTATAATCCCAGGCTTTCGGGAGACTGAAGCAGGAGAATCGCTTGAACCCAGGAGGGCAGAGGTTGTCTTGACCCGAGATTGCACCACTGCACTCCAGCCTAGGGGACAGAGCCAGACTCTATCTCAAAAAAAAAAAAAAAAGAAAGAAAAGAAATTATTGTAGTATTGGGGCCAATCATTAATACACTTTCTCACCTTCCTTTCTCACCTCTCTCTGTTTTCTGCCTCTCTCTGTCCCTCTCTGTTCTCTTTGTCTCTTTCTCTCTGTCTCTCATTGTGTCTCTTTCTGTTCCTTCTCTCTCTAGCTCTCTCTCTGTCCCTCTCTCTCTGTCTCTCTCCGTCTCAGTCTCTTTGTCTCTTTATCCTTCTCTCTCTCTGTCAGCCTCTCTCTCTCTGTCTTAAGAGAAGATGCCCCTTTAGCCTTTGGACTTTACAATCCAATAATGAATTTATCTTCAGAAAATCAGCCTGCATTTGGGTAACACCTTCTGCATTAAGATGTTCATTGCAGTAGTGTTTATAATAGCAAGAGAAGAGTTAAACAAGCTAAGTGAGCAAGCGTTAGAAGACTGGCTAAATATAATGAAATCATCTGTACAACTGGTAACAGTGAAGCTTACAAATGAGTGTGTAATGCCATGGGGCATTACACATGCACGTAAAATTACACGTTAAGAAAGCAAAGCACAGAATTGTCTGATGAACCCGATAATCTGTATTTAATATATGTGTACATTAAACACACACGCAAATACGTCATCATACTTCAAAATGGCAGCAGCGGTAGAGTTGAATGACTGTTCACTTCTTTTCTTCTTATTTCATGTTTAAACATTTTCCAAATGCGCTTTATTGAGTATATGCCTTCCTTGCTTTCCACTTTTGCTAATTTTAATTATTTTTATTCTTTTTTTTTGAGAAAGAGTCTCCCTCTGTCGCCCGGCTAGAGTGCAGTGGTGTGACCTCGGCTCACTGCAACCTCCACCTCCCGGTTCAAGAGATTCTCCTGTCTCAGCCTCCCAAGTAGCTGGGACTACAGGTGCCTGCCACCACACCTGGCTAATTTTTATATTTTTAGTAGAGATGGGGTTTCACCATGTTGGCCAGAATGGTCTGGAACCCCTGGCCCCAAGTGATCTGCCCACCTTGGCCTCCCAAAGTGCTGGGATTACAGGTGTGAGCCACTGCACCTCCCCAAGTTTTTTTCTTTTTAGAGAAGTAGACACAGGACAGTGACCCCAGCATGTTGGGTGTGGAACTGTGATCAGTGCAACTGCTAATTTTTCTAGGCTCACCTGACATTCTGAAATATTTCCCAAAAGTTCCTTTCAAAGCCCATGCATTTCCTTCTGACTCTGGGCATCTTTTGTGCCAGAAAGTTGAGGGTCCTGGTGAGACGGGGACAGGAGAGAAAACAATGAATGTGACAGAGCCCTCTGGTCCATGCAGCAGGGGGAGGATGTGGATGCCTCTGTGTTCAGGGGTCTTTGGTGGGGAGGGTCCCCTCTCCCTGCCTAGCTCTGACAGCCAGAAGGTCGGGGCAGGGGAGCTGTGGCTTTGCCAGCTGCCTTCAAGGTCTCTATCTGGCTCCCCACTCCCTGAACCTCCAAGACTCACCCTCCCGTCTCTCTTCTCTCCCAGAGTTCCTCGTGGGGGACCTTGTTGTCACCCAGAACACCTCCCTGCTCTGGCCCAGCTCCTATCTCACTAAGACAGTCCTTAAAGTCTCCTTCCTCCTCCACGACCCGAGTGACTTCCTCAAGACCGCCTTGTTTCTCTACAGCTGGGACTTCGGGGATGGGTAGGTCCTTGCCCCTCTGCAGGCCCTACAGCTGTCACCAGTGCCCCACAGTCCTGCGTGCTGTGCAGGGTGCTCTGAATCTCCCCACCTTTCTTTCTTTTCTTTAAAAATTTTTTCAAGATACAGTCTTACTCTGTCATCTAGGCTGGAGTGCGGTGGCGCCATATCGGCTCATGGCAACCTCTGCCTCCTGGGTTCAAGCGATTCTCCTGCCTCAGCCTCCTCAGTAGCTGAACTACAGGCGTGCACCATCACACCTGGCTAATTTTTTTTATTTTTGTTTTTTTTTGGTAGTCCTGGGATTACAGGTGTGAACCACCATGCTCGGCTAATTTTTTTTTTTTTTTAGTAGAGATGGGGTTTCACCATGTTGGCCAGGCTGGTCTCGGACTCCTGACCTCAAGTGATCCTCCTATCTCAGCCTCCCAAAGTGCTGGGATCACAGGCATGAACCACTGTGCCTGGCCTGAAACTCCCCACCTTTACCCCCTCACTCTCTCTTCCCTTCAAGCATCCCTCAACCTCCTCTCTGCCAGGCCTGGGCATCCTGGGGAACACAGTTGAGTCACTAGGCCTGCCTTTGTGGTGTCTTCGCCTAACAGAGGAGGCCATTGGTGCCCAAAACAGCCCTGTAAGGAAGGTCAACATAGGTAGGGTTTTTTTCCCATTTGACCTTGAAGGGCACCGAGCCAGCCATTGGTAGATACAAGGTAGAACCCAGGGGCCCTGGTTTCATTTCTCTTCATTCCTCCTTTTTAACTTTTTGTCTTCCCCCCTGTCTTTTTTTGTGGAGGAGAACAAGGTCTTGCTGTGTTGCCCAGGCTGGTCTTGAACTCCTGGGCTCAAGTGATCCTCCCACCTCTGCCTCCCTAAGTGCTGGGATTACAGGTGGGAGCCACTGTGCTCAGCTCGCTCCCTCCTTCCCTCCTTCCCTCCCTCCCTCCCTTATTTCCTTCCTTCCTTCCTCTATTCTCTTGCTTTTCTACCTTTTCTCTCTTTTTCTTTATTTCCCTCCCTCCCTTCCCTTCCTTCCTTTATTTTCCTCTTTCCTCTTTCTCTTTGTCTCTCTCCCCCTTCCCACTCCCCGCTTCCCTCTCCCCCTTCCCCTACCCCTCCCTCCTCCCTCTCCCTTCCTTCCAAAGTGTTGGGATTACAGGGTGAGCCACTGTGCCCAGCAAAACTCAGAATATGGATTACCTAACTCTTGGTGACAAAAGCAACCTGTGGTCACTCGGGCTAGTACAGTGGTGTGATTATAGATCACTGCTGCCTTGACCTCCCAGCCTCAAGCAATCCTCCCACCTCTGCCTCCTGAGTGGCTGGGACTACAGGCATGCACCACCATGCCTAGCTAATTTTAATTTTTTTCTGTAGAGACGGGGTCTTACTACATTGTCCAGCCTGGCCTCAAACTCCTGGGCTCAAGCTATCCTTCCATCTCAGCTTCCCAAAGTGTTCGGATTACAGGTGTAACCCACTGCCACTGTGCTTGGCTTCCCCGCCCCAGCCCTTTTTTTAGAGACAGGGTCTTGCTCTGTCACCCAGGCCAGTGGCACAAACTTGACTCACTGCAGCCTTCACCACTTGTGCTCAAGTGATCCTCCTGCCTCAATCTCTTGAGTAGCTGGGACCACAGGCATGTCCCACCACATCTGAATGGTTTTTAAAAATGTTTTGTAGAAATGGGTCTCACTATGTGCCCAGGCTGGTCTCGAACTCCTGGCCTCAAGCCTTCCTCCCGCCTCGGCCTTCCAAAGCACTGGGATGACAGATGGGAACCACCATGCCTGGTTAGATAATCTCTTTAGATGCCAAAAAAGTGTTCATGTGAACAGAAATGGACATTCAGTGTAGTATCAGTAAATGAGAAAAAAGAAGTTGCTGGGACTAACGACTCACGTTATACTGAGCAGAGAGCTTAGAATATGTTTCGTGACTCATGCCTGTAATCCCAGCACTTTGGGAGGCTGAGGTGGGTGGATCACTTGAAGTCAGGAGTTTGAGACCAGCCTGGCCAACATGGCCAAACCCCGTTTCTACTAAAAAAATATTTAAAAATTATCCAGGGCGTGGTGGCTCATGCCTATAGTCCCAGCTACTCAGGAGGCTGAGGCGGGAGAATCATTTGAACCTGGGAGGTGGAGTTGCAGTGAGCTGAGATCATGCCATTGCAGTCCAGCCTGGGTGACAGAACGAGACTCCATCTCAAAAAAAAAAAAAAGATGTTTTTTTGAGATAGGGTCTTACTCTGTTACCCAGGCTGGAGTGCAGTGGCACGTTCTTGGCTCACTGCAAACTACACTTCCTGGCCTCAAGTGATTCTCCCACCTCAGCCTCCTGAGTAGCTGGGACCACAAGTCTGCAACATTTCAGCTGGCTAATTTTTGTATTTTTTTTGTAGAGACGGGGTTTTGCCAAGTTGCCCAGGCTAGTCTCAAACTTCTGGCCTCAAGCAGTCCTCCCACCTCAGCTTCCCAAAGTGTTGGTATTATAGGGGTGAGCCACTGTGCCTGGCAAAACTTGGAATATAGATTCCCTACCTCTTGGTGACAAAAGTGACCTGTGGTCGAACACCTTTGAGGAATCATTCCATTGAGATGCTGGGGGACACTGTCCCTAGATGCAGGAATAAGACAAGGGTGCTCCTTATCAGGGCCCTTCAATGTCGTCCTGAAAGTTCTAACTTACTCAGTAGAGTCAGGAAATAAGTGCAGGCCAGGCATGGTGGCTCAGACCTGTCATTCAGTGTTTTGAGAGCCTGAGGGGGTATGGGAATCGCTTGTGTCCAGGAATTCGAGACTAGTTTGGGCGACATAGTGAGACTTCATCTCTACAAAAAATACAAAAAGTAGCCAGGCATGGTGGTGCATGCCTGTAGTCCCAGCTACTTGGGAGGCTGAGGTGGTAGGATTGCTTGAGCCTAGGAGTTCAGAGACTGCAGTGAGCTATGATTGCACCACAGCACTCCAGCCTGGGCAACAGAGCAGAACCTTATCTCCAATAAGAAAACTAAAAGAAAAAAAACAAAAAAGAGAGAGAAAGTGTAGTACAAATATTGGAAAGCAGACACTTTGCAGCAAAGACTATTTACCTGAAAGATCTGGATGGCAGCTTTGTCCGGTAGAACCCTTGGCTTGTCCAGGCACAGTGGCTCATGCCTGTAATCCCAGCACTTTGGGAGGCTGAGGCAGGAGGATCACTTGAACACAGGAGTTCAAAACCAGCCTGGGCAACACAGTGAGAACCTGTCTTTACAAAAAAATCATGTATTAGCCAGGCACAGTGGTACACACCTGTGATTCCTGCTACTCGGGAGGCTGACACATGCAGATTGCTCAGGCCCAGGCGTTCAAGGCGGCAGAGCCATGATTGTGCCATTGCGTGACAGAGTGACCCTGTCTCAATAAAAACCACAAACAAAACCAACATTTTTGGCAATGTTCTGTCTCCATCTCGTGGTGCTGTTGAGCCCTTGGACTCTGGCTAATGTGAGAAATTCGTAATTGTACCTAATTTTAGGCCCTGTCTGGCCTGTTTCCTCATCTGGGAAATGGGCCAGCTGACCTGGAGCCCCAGCTGGCTCTAGGCTGCAATGACAGATGTGTTTATTGGTAGCTGGGAGTATCACTACGCAGCTTCCCCGACTGTATCACATCCCTTGAATCACTTCTGAGTTACAGGCAGGGGAAGCAACCCTCTGCCGATTTGCTTCTCTCACCTCCCTGTCTCCTAACAGGACCCAGATGGTGACTGAAGACTCCGTGGTCTATTATAATTATTCCATCATTGGGACCTTCACCGTGAAGCTCAAAGTGGTGGCAGAATGGGAAGAGGTGAAGCCGGATGCCACGAAGGGTGTCATGCAGAAGACAGGCGACTTCTCTGCCTCACTGAAGCTACAAGGTGGGTCTCGGGGTGGGCAGATACAGTCTGAGCATTCCAGAGTGGGGTCACCGTACGTACAGATCACAGCGGCTCTGAGCTAGACTCACACACCCTGTCTTCTTGAGCCCCATGGACCTCTGAGGAGCATCTGTCGTCACCCCTGCTTCAGAGGGCACTGAAGGCCACGGATGGGATCACGTGGCCATGCAGTGGTGGGATGGCCCTTGTTCCCCAGGCCTGCTTGCTCACAGAGCCTGAGCCTGTGACCAGCTCTCTGCTGTGAATGGGCTGGTCCATGTTGACCCCTGTTCCCCGGCCCCATCGGCCTCCCACCAAGGCTCACCCAGGGTGGGATGGTCTCTGTCTCTCCCTGGCTTTGGCGAGGGGGGCTCTTGGGTGGCTGCAGAAGATGTCTTGTCTTGCTAATGGGATGGTGGTTTCCTGCTTGTGACACGGAGGAAGAATCGGCAGTGGGCAGGATGGCCCTGTGTTTGCCCGCCTTTTCCAACTCCTCTGCGCAGGCTCCAGCACCTGCTGTTGACAGGGGAGGGCAGGACCCAGAGGAACTTTACACAGAAGTGTGACCCGCTCTTAGGAGAGGGACAGAGGAGAGGACAGGGTGGCGGTCCCTCCGCCCTGCGCCCCGGGAGCCTTGACAGCAGTCCTCAGCCACCAGGTCTGATGTGGTTCTCTGCCTTACAGAAACCCTTCGAGGAATCCAAGTCTTGGGGCCCACCCTAATTCAGACCTTCCAAAAGATGACTGTGACCTTGAACTTCCTGGGGAGGTAAGTGGGCTCTGGAGTGCACTGTGGGTACCCTGTGGGCTCTGCACATCCACTGTCATGGTACACCCAAGTCTGTTCCACTCTGTGACTGGCCCAGGTCTGGGACCTCAAGGAAGGAAAGGCAGTGCCACTCTGTGCTGAGGCTGGGCATGGAGAGAACATGGGCTCAGCTCTAGTCTTTATTTTAATTTATTTTTTGAGACAGTGTCTTACTCCTCACCCAGGCTGGAGTGCAATTGTGCAATCTAGGCTCACTGCAACCTCCTCCTCCTGGGTTCAAGTGATTCTCCTGCCTCAGCCTCCCCAGTAGCTGGGATTACAGGTGCACACCGCCACGCCTGGCTAATTTTTTTGTAGTTTTAGTAGAGACGGGGTTTCATCATGTTGGCCAGGATGGTCTTGATCTCCTGACCTCGTGGTCTGCCCACCTCGCCCTCCCAAGGTGCTGGGATTGTAGGCGTGAGCCACCACACCCAGCCCCGTTTTTACTTTTTAGAAACCACAGGTTTACTCTGTCACCCAGGCTGGAGTACAGTGGTACCATCACAGCTCACTGCAGCCTCGACCTCCCAGGCTTAAATGATTCTCCTGGCCAGGTGCGGTGGCTCATGCCTGTAATCCCAGCACTTTGGGAGGCCGAGGTGGGCAGATTGCCTGAAGTCAGGAGTTCAAGGCCAGTCTGGCCAACATGGTGAAAGCCCATCTCTACTAAAAGTTCAAAAAAACTTCACTGGGCGTGGTGGCACATGCCTGTAATCTCTGCAACTCAGAAGGCTGAGGCAGGAGAATTGCTTGAACCTGGGAGGCGGAGGTTGCAGTGAGCCGAGATCACGCCATTGCACTCTAGCCTGGGCAACAGAGTGAGAATCCATCTCAAAAATAAATAAAATAAAATAATTAGTTGGGCATGGTGGCTGGTGCCTGTAGCCCCAGCTACTTGCGACGCTGAGGCAGGAAGATGGCTTGAGCCCAGGAGTTGGAGGCTGCAGTGAGCTATGATCGAGCCACTGCACATTAGCCTGGGTGACAGAGTGAGACCCTGTCTCAAAAACAAACAAACAAAAACCGTAAAACATGGGATGCGCTTATTACTCCCCTGGGCTTCCGGATCATACCATGTGTACCATCAGACCACTCATCCTGCCTCCAGTGAGCAGTCCGTGCAGATCTCTGTTTGCCTTTTCCACTTGGAATCCCCTTGGGGGTCCGGGACCATTTCTTATGCACCACAGGGTCCCCTGGTCTGAAATGCATATAGCTGAGTCCAGCACAGCTTGGTGGCCTGTCCTATAAAGGACGCTGAGGTTCATGCCCATGCAGCCTGCCTCCGTGCTGACACTCTTTGCTGATCCTTTTCTAAAAAACCATTCCCAGCCAGGCACAGTGGCTCATGCCTGTAATCCCAACACTTTGGGAGGCTAAGGCGGGTGGATCACTTGAGGTTGGGTTTGAGACCAGCCTGGCCAACATGGCGAAACCGCATCTCTACTAGGAATACAAATATTAGCCAGGTATGGTGGTGGATGCCTGGAGTCCCAGCTACTCGGGAGGCTGAAGCAGGAGAATCACTCGAACCCGGAAGGTGGAGGTTGCAGAGAGCCAAGATTATGCCACTGTACTCCAGCCTGGTGACAGAGTGAGACTCCATCTCAAAAATACAAAAAAACAAAAATAGAAACAAAAACCAACAAAACACTGTTCCAATGTCCCCGCAGCCCTCCTCTGACTGTGTGCTGGCGTCTCAAGCCCGAGTGCCTCCCGCTGGAGGAAGGGGAATGCCACCCTGTGTCGGTGGCCAGCACAGCATACAACCTGACCCACACCTTCAGGGACCCTGGGGACTACTGCTTCAGCATCCGGGCTGAGAATGTCATCAGCAAGACTCATCAGTACCACAGGATCCAGGTGTGGCCCTCCAGTAAGTGAAACCTTGCCTTCTACTCCAGTGCCACATGGGCAGCACAAGCCTGTCCATCCCACCACCACCACCGGTATGCTCCTACCAGCCAGCCTTACCAAGATCCTCAGCAACAAAGTCCACCGGCATCAGCACCATCAGTAACTCTACTGACTCCAGTGATGACCAACATTAGCCTTGGCCAACTGCCAATACCACCACCACCAAACGCTCCAATCCCACCTGCAACCAACTCTGCCGATCTCAACACGGCACCCATCAATTCTACCAACAGCACCATCAACACCAGCACCACTAACAGCTGTAACCGACTCAGCCACCACCCTGACCATACGCGCTCCTGACTATTCTTCCAGCACCACCAATGCCACCGCTAACGACTCTATCCAGCATTCTCACCAAGTCACCTCAGTGACCCCTGGCCCTACCCACATCCATAAGCCCATGCCATTACCTGCCCCAATGCCAGCTCCGTGGACCAAAACCATCCATGCCAATATCCTCTCCCACATATTTCCAAGACCACACATGTCCCCAGTGCAAACACTTTTGTATCAAATGAGCCACCATGATTGCAGTGTTCCCTCCCTCATCACCATCACCGCTGCCCCAGCAGTTGCCACCGCTAAAACCAGCATCCCCAACAGTAACTACTCAACTCTCAGTGTGGTAGTGAGTCTTCCAGGGAGAAGGAGTTGCAAATCATTAATAAGGATGCCTGGGCTAGGCATGGTGGCTCCCAGGACTTTGGGAAACTGAGGTGGATGGATTGATTGAACCCAGGAGTTGAGACCAGCTTGGGTAACATGGCAAAACTCTGTCTACAAAAAATAGAAAAATAGGCCGGGTGCGGCAGCTCATGCCTGTAATCCCAGCACTTTGAGAGGCTGAGGTGGGTGGATCACTTGAGGCCAGGAGATTGAGACCAGCCTGGCCAATGTGGTGAAACCCCACCTCTACTAAAAATACCAAAAATTAGCTGTAATCCCAGCTACATGGGAGGCTGAGGCACGAGAATCCCCTGAACGTGGGAGGTGGAGGTTGCAGTGAGCTGAGATTGTGCCACTGCACTCCAACCTGGGCCACAGAGAGGCTCTTGTCTCAAAAAAAAAATTATATGTAGATAGTGGCATGTGCCTGTAGTCCCTGCTACTTGGGAGGCTGATGTGGTAGGATCACTTGAGCCCAAGAGATTGAGGCTGCCCTGAGCCAAGATCGTACCACAGCACTCCAGCCTGAGCGACAGAGTGAGACCCTGTCAAAAAAAAAAAAAAAGGAAAAAGAGAGAGAGAGAGAGAGAGAGAGAAAAGGAGGCCCAACTTCTTTCTTAAAATACCCTTCCCAAAGCATCATCAGGCCCAGCCCCTGGCTTATGATTGCAGGCTTTGCTGACGAGAGCATTGGGTTCTACGCTTCATTTTTATGGAGGATTCTGGGAGCCCTAGAGAAGTACTTCCTTACACAGAGGAGAAAGTAGGATCTCAGGTCCTGAAGGTACCATCTTTCAGATGCCCAACCCAGTCCTACCTTTGATGCTACAAAAGGGGAAACTAAGGCACAGGGAGACAATAAGACTGAATGTCAGCCTGAGCCTGACCTGGGCTTTCAGATTCCTGTTCCTGGAGTAGGAGTTAGTTCCTCCCAGTGCTCCCAAGCTCATGTCAAACTCTGCCGGCTGCACCTGTCTTCAAGGTTGGTCCTATGGATGCACCGGAAGTTGTCACTGTCCCCTCCAGTCTCCCTAATGCAACTCTGAGCCCCTGAGAAGATGCTGCACTCATCTAGGACCTGGCTTACTTTGTGGCCATCATCAAGTCACTTGGGCCCTACTGTCCCTCAGCACCCTCTGGGTACCAAGTTACAATCAGGAACCCCCTGAATTCTGCAGAGAAGACAGCAGCACAGGTAATCAATATCAATGCCAACTTTTCTTGCCAGACTCTCATGGCAGAGGGTGAGCAAAAAGGGAGAGGGAACTCACACTTCCTGATCACCTATATCACACATATCAACACCCCTCTTCTTGCATCTCCTTAGCAGTCTTGCAGGTCAGCATTAGCATGAGGTAGCCCATTCAGAGCTAGGATTTGAACCCAGAACTGTTTAACTTTAGACACTGGACTCTTTCTACCAAACCACTTCATATAGCAACAGGTTTAGTGGATGAGCCTGGAGTTGCCAGAGAGTGGGAAGGTGAAACAGAGTACACAGTGCTGACTGGGTGACCTCACAACATGGCTGCCCTTCCCAAAAGTGTGTCATCCAAGAAAGCAAGGAGGAAGCTGTCTTTTATGGCTTAGACTCAGGAGTCATGCACTATCTCTCCTTTCACCTGCTGTACCCTAGGAGCTGGTCACTGAGTCCAGCCCATACTCAAGAGGTGAGGAATTTAGCTGCCCTTCTTGGAAGTTGCTACTAAGTAAGCTGTGGATGTCTGCTGAAAGCCTCCTGCTCAGACCCCAGTTTATTTTTTGTGAAGTCCTGTATTTTCCTATTGGGGTTGCCCAGTTGGGATGCATGTACATGAGGGTAAAAAAAATCACTGGTAGACTGGGAGTGGTGGCTCACACCTGTAATCCCGGCACTTTGGGAGGCCAAGGTGGGTGGATCACCTGAGGTCGGGAGTTTGAGACCAGCCTGACCAACATGGAGAAACCCAGTCTCTACTAAAAATACAAAAGTTAGCAGGGTGTGGTAGCACATGCCTGTAATCCCAACTACTCGGGAGGTAGAGGCAGGAGAATCGATTGAATCTGGGAGGCGGAGGTTGTGGTGAGCTGAGATCATGCCCTTGCACTCCAGCCTGAGCAACAAGAGCAAAACTCTGTCTTGAAAGAAAAAAAAAAATCACCGGTGGGGCTTGACCATTTCCTCCTTTGTTGTGTTTCCTTCCTGAGAACCAGCACTGTAGCACCAGCTACCCAGTCCTGTAATGTTACTTCTTTCATTCCCAGGCATCCAGCCGGCTGTCTTCGCTTTTCCATGTGCTACACTTATCACTGTGATGTTGGCCTTCATCATGTACATGACCCTACGGAATGCTACTCAGCAAAAGGACATGGTGGAGGTGAGTACTCAGCGGGTTGGGGGCTGGACTACCCGGCCTTGTCTAGAAACGATCTTTAGAGAGGGTATGGGGGCCAGGCTAGGATGCCTGGAGGGGGTCTTGATGTTACAGGGAGGCTCTGGGACTTGGGTAATATGCCCAAGAGGCATCTGTAGGCCAGGAAAAATTGCTAAGTTGGTGTCTCATCTGATTTATCTCCTATGTCCATCCCTTACATCTGTGTGGTGCCAGAAAGTTGTTTCTGTGCACTCTGCCTCCAGGCAGCTGAGCTCATAAGGCCACGTGATGGGGCTCCTGGTGGGCGGGTGATTGACCCATGGGGTTTTGTTCACCTTAGGTGGCTGATTTTGACTTTTCCCCCATGTCTGACAAGAACCCGGAGCCGCCCTCTGGGGTCAGGTGCTGCTGCCAGATGTGCTGTGGGCCCTTCTTGCTGGAGACTCCATCTGAGTACCTGGAAATTGTTCGTGAGAACCACGGGCTGCTCCCGCCCCTCTATAAGTCTGTCAAAACTTACACTGTGTGATCGCTCACCCTCCCCACCCCATCTCAGTGTTAACTGACTGCTGACTTGGAGTTTCTGGCAGGGTGGTATGTACCACTGACCAGGAGGGGTTCATGTATGTGGGGCTGTTGGCCTGGTCCATCCATCCATCTGTACAGTCCAGCCACTGCCACAAGCCCCTCTCTGTCACCCCTGCCCCCAGCCATTCAACCGTCTGTACAGTCCAGCCACTGATGTAAGCCCCTCTCAGTTACCACTCCCTTGATCCCCTACCTTTGAAGAGGCTTCATGCAGGACTCTGACACTTGGGGTGCTCCATGTTCACTCCCAGGTGGGCCTGGATGCCCACTGCCCATTCCTCTCATATTGGCACATCTACTGTCCATTGGGGGTCCTCAATTTCCTCCCTCAGACAGCCCTGTCTATGCCAGAGAGCTGGGAAGAAGGTCACAAAGGGTTAAAAATCCATCACGAAAGGTTTGTCACATGGACGGGCACACTCACAGAGACAAGTGTGCAGGTACACACACACACACAGATTTAAACACAAGTCACATGGGCATTTCAGAGGATCTGCTCTGTGTCCGGTTAAGTCAGTTGCTGGGATGCACCCTGCACCTGAACTGAAAGGAAATTTGACCCTCTCCATGCAGCCCCAACAGGTTCTGGGCCCAGGCCCTCTTGTATGCTTTGTCTCTGCAGTTCCTGCTCCCTTTATAAGGCTTGCTGGCAGGGGGCTGGGGCAGGACTAACAGTGAGTGCAGAGTACTTTATAAATATCACCCTATTTTTATCAAAATCCATATGTGAAACTTTCATCGAGGTAAAGGCCTTGCCAAAGCAGAGGTTGAGACAGTAGGGACTGGGGATCCCTGTGTGTGACGGGGGGGCATTCTTGCCGGCCAGCTGCTCCCGAGGTGGCCTTGAGAAGGAAGAAGCAGGTTGATGGAACCTAAGCCATGGAACCAGCCTGCGCCCTCCCCTCTGGCCCAGTGACCTGGGCGGTAGCTGAGGGAGACAATAATGGGGCCAGAAGTAGCCCAAGCCTGTTTGGGAAGGGAAGGGCAGGACTGTGGGGTCTGGGCTTTGTCACTGTAACCATCTGCTCCCAGGCTGTGTGCTGAAAATGGCATTGACATGATTGTGCAGCTCATTCTCATGAAACACTACCATTGTTGCTAAATAAAGCTTGTGTGCTCTGAACGTAGCCAAGCATCGACGGCATGGCCAGAGTCTCTTTTTTATGCATGGATGTTTTTGCCTTGCAGACAACACAGCAAGTGTGCCGCACAGCAGGACATCTCGCGTGTCCTCTGTGGTGAAGACACTGAATGGAGCCACTTCAGGTCCCTGGAGGTGGGGACAGCTGTCCCCAGGTGACCTGGACATGCAAGCCCAGTCTGAGACCCCAGGGGGATTCTAGAGTCAGAGGGGGAACGTGGGCCACAGCTGGGGATGTGATGGAAATGCAGACCCCAGGGCTTCCCTGATATCTGAACCAGTGCCTGGGGAGGGGCCCCCAGCTGTTTCACAAGCCCTCTGGGATCCTGGTCCATATCGAGTGTGAGAACTGCTCATCTCTAGCAGGGCTTCCTACACTTTGAGGTTCACGAGAATTGCTGGAGATCTCGGTAAACAAGAATTTTCATTCAGGAGGTCTGGAGTAGGGCCTGGGATTCTGCATTTCTTTATTTTTATTTATTTCTTTATTTTTTTGAGACAGATTCTCTCTGTCACCCAGGCTGGAGTACAGTGGCATGATCATAGCTCACTGTAGCCTAGACCTCCTGGGCTCAAGTGATTCTCCCATCTCAGCCTTAACCAGATACGGAGTAGTTGGGACTATAGGTACATGCCATCACCTCTGGCTAATTTTCTGTTTATTTTTTGTAGAGACAAAGTCCCACTATGTTGCCCAGGCTGGTCTCCAACTCCTGAGCTCAAGTGATCCTTCCACCTCGGCCTCCCAAAGTGTAAGCCACTGAGCCTGACTCTGCCCTTATTTTTTTCTGCTCCTTTGTCTCCCCAAGGCAGGAACTGATCCTCCCTCTTTCTGTCTTGGAGCCAGCCACAAAGAAATTGTCTGACTTACGTTGGTTCATTGGAGGTCATAGATCCTCATTGCTGAAGGCATCCTTCCCCATCCCCCGGAGGAAGGAATGCTACACAGAGAGGCCCAGGAGAATCTGAACAAACAGGAACAAACAGGTCTTGCAGAGTTTCCTCACTGGGCCTATCAGTATTAGGTTATGCTCTATCTGTCCAATCACATTTCTATGCCGTTGTCAATCATGTCTATTCAAGGGAGCCTTCCTTAAAGGCCCAAGAGGCCTAGGTTTGCAGAGCTTATGGATAGATGAACCCATTGAGGTTCTTCGAGGGTGGTGCACCTGGGAGGGCATGGAGCTCTGAGCCCTTCCCCCACAGTTTGCCCTCCGCATCTCTTCATCTGTATCTTTTGTAAGATCCATTATATATATATATATTTTCAGATGGAGTCTCACTCTGTTGCCCAGACTGGAGTGCAGTGGCACGATCTCTGCTCACTGTAACCTCTGCCTCCTGGGTTCAAGTGATTCTCCTGCCTCAGCCTCCTGAGTAGCTGGGAATACAGGCTCATGTCACCATGCCCAGCTAATTTTTGTATTTTTAGCAGAGATAGGGTTTCACCATGTTGGCCAGGATGGTCTAGAACTCCTGTCCTTAGGTGATCTGTCTGCCTCTGCCTTTGAAAGTGCTGGGATTACAGGTGTGAGCCACCTTGTCCGGCTGATTCCCTGAGTTCTGTGAGCTCCTCTAGCAAATTAATTAAACCCAAAGAGTAGGGTGGTGGGAACCCTGACTTATAGCTAGTCAGAAGTTCCAGAGGTCCAAACTTGCAACTGGTAGAAAGAGGGGGGCAGTCTTGTGGGATTGAGCCCTCCATCTATGGGATCTGATGCTAACTCTGGGTAGGTAACATCTGAATCGAATTGAAGGACAGCCAGTTGGTGTCCGCTGCTGAATTGATCTCTTGCTTGGTGGGTGGGGAGAAACCCTCACACATTTGGCCATAGACACCTTGTGTGTTGATTGTGTTGTAACAGAGTTAGAGTTGGTTTTTCTATGTGTATAGAAATAGGGTCTTTTCATGCCTTTAATCTCAGCACTTTGGGAGGCCGAGGCGGGTAGATCACCTGAGGTCAGGAGTTCTAGACCATCCTGGCCAACATGGGGAAATCCCATCTCTACCATAAAATATAAAAATTAGCTGGGCGTGGTGGCTCCTGCCTGTAATCCCAGCACTTTGGGAGGCTGAGGTGGGTGGCTCACCTGAGGTCAGGGGTTCGAGACTAGCCTGGTCAATGTGGTGAAACTCCATCTCTACCATAAAATGTAGAAATTAGCTGGGTGTGGTGGCACATGCCTGTAATCCCAGCTATTTGGGAGGCTGAGGCTGGAGAATCACTTGAACCTGGGTGGTGGAGGTTGCAGTGAGCTGAGATGGCACCACTGCGCTCCAGCCTGGGCAACCATTTCAAAAAAAAAAAAGATAAACACTGGACGCAGACATACCCCAGGGGAGACAGCCACATAATGATGGAGGCAGAGATGTGAAAGAGTACATTTCTGTTTTGTTTTTGTTTTTTTAAATATGGAGTCTTGCTCCATAGCTCAGGCTGGAGTGCAGTGGTGTGATTTCAACTCACTGCAACCTCCGCCTCCTGGGTTCAAGCAATTCTCCTGCCTCAGCCTCCCGAGTAGCTGCGATTACGGGTGCCTGCTACCACACCCGGCTAAGTTTAATATTTTTAGTAGAGATGGGGTTTCAACATGTTAGCCGGGCTGGTCTCCAACTCCTGACCTCATGTGAACCACCCACCTCGGCTTCCCAAAGTGCTGGGATTACAGGTGTGATTACAGGTACCTGGCCAGTTTGTTTTAAGCCACCTGGTTTGTGGTACCTTGTTTCAGCAACCCCAGGAAACAGACAGATTTCCCATGTCAATTTCAGCAGCTCCATCTTTCACATTCCATATCCATTCTACAGGAAATCCTTCAACTGAGATCCAGAATTTGACCGCTGCCCCCACCTCTCCTGCCGCCACTATCCCTGTCCCTGGCAGGGCTCTCACCATGCCTGGCGGCTCCTGCTCACCCTCACTGTGCCAGGAGTCTATCCTCAAAACTGCGCCGTGACCACGTCTTCCTCTGCCCCAAACCCTTCAGTGTCTCCCATCTCAGAGAAAACCTCATATCCTTCCAGTGCCCCCCCAAGTCCCTGTACAAACTGGCCTGTGACCTTGTCACCCCCTGTCCCTGCTGGCTGCTCCCTTTGCAGGTGGGATGCTCTTCCCTGGACACATGTGGGGTTCCCTCTCTTCTCCTTCAGGGCTGGTCAAACATCACCTTCATCTGTGAGGTCACCTTGGCACTTTTTTCTCTTACCTGCCCTTATCCTCATGGCTTATGTTACCTTCAGACATTCTATCATTATTAATTTTTGAGATGGAGTCTTGCTCTGTTGCCCAAGCTGGAGTGCAGTGACGCGATCTCGGCTCACTGCAACCTCTGCCTCTCAGTGTCAAGCAATTCTCCTGCCTCCGCTTCCTGAGTGGCTGGGATTACAGGCGCCCACCACCAGGCCTGGCTAATATTTTTGTATTTTTAGTAGAGATGGGGTTTCTCTATGTTGGCCAGGCTGGTCTCAAGTGATCTGCCTGCCTCAACCTCCTAAAGTGTTGGGATTATAGGCGTGAGCCACTGCGCCTAGCCTAACGTACTATTAATTTATTTATTTTAGAATTTATTTGTACTTTTTTAAGAGACAGAGTCCTGTCTTACTCTGTCACCCAGGCTGGAGTGCAGTGGTGCAATCATAGCTCACTGCAGCCCCAACCTCCCTGGCTCAAGCAATCCTCCCATCTCGGACTCCCAAGCAGCTGGGACTATAGGAACACACCACCATGCCCAGCTAATTTTTAAAAACTTTTCGTAGAGATGATAGGGTCTTGCTTGTTCCCGAGGCTAGTCTGGAACTCTTAGCCTCCAGCGATCCTCCCACCTTGGCCTCTCAATGTGCTGGGCTTACAGGCATGACTCATGGCAGCTGGCCTCAACTTGTTTATTTGGTCTGAGCCTTACATGGTACATAAACTTGAAGAGAAAAAGGATTTTGCCGATTTTGTTCACTATTTCTACTTCGAACACCCAGAATACTACTCAGCACATAGTAGGTGTTCATTAAATATTGTTGAATGGAAAGAGGAATGGCGTGAGGAAGGGAAGAAGGGCTATTTCCTCACACTTGTGTTGTAACCTCACAATGACTGGAATCGGGAGGGCAGATAAGACTAAGGAACAGACTCAGTGTTTCTGCAGACTGTCCAGAAGACCCCGTAGGGCAGGACAAAGGGCCGGAAGCCCTGGTGTGAGAGATGTCTAGTGTCAGGAGGCAAGGACCTCCCTCCCTGAATCCTGGAGAGAGGGAAGGTGGTGCAGGCCCCTTCTGGCATGGCGGCATCTTGGACATCAGATCAGGTACTTATCCATCCTCGGAGCAGAAAGCTGCTGGTCTGGCTTCTGAGGGCGGTGCCTCATTCTGTGTTGAGGAGGGGAGGTCAGAGGGTGGAGGCTGGGGGAGCGGCCGGGCTGTGGATGGTGTGGCAGAGGCTGAGGGAATGAACTGAGCTTGGTCCTGTGTGGTAGTGGACCAAGGAGTTGAGGACACCCCAGGGCCATAGGCAGGGAATAGGTTGGAGTCTCTTAAAACTGAGCTACCTCAGCTCCCAGGGGATCCATGGAAAGCACTGAGGAACTTGGGTGGGAGGAATTACATGTTTCTTTTCTTTTTTTTTTTTTTTTGAGATGGAGTCTTGCTCTTTCGCCCAGGCTGGAGTGTGATGGTGTGATCTCGGCTCACTGCAACCTTTACCTCACAGGTTGAAGTGATTCTCCTGCCTTAGCTTCCTAAGTAGCTGGGATTACAGGTGCGTGCCAGCACACCTGGCTAATTTTTGTATTTTTAGTAGAGACAGGTTTCACCATGTTGGTCAGGCTGGTCTTGTACCAGCTGCCCCCACCTCTCCTGCCACCACTATCCCTGTCCCTGGCAGGGCTCTTACCAAGCCTGGTGGATCCTGACCTCATGATCCACCCATCTCAGCCTCCCAGAGTGCTGGGATGTTCTTTTTTTTTTTTTTTTTTTAGTTGGAATTTCGCACTTGTTGCCCAGGCTGG